CTCGAACACTCCGGCTCGCCCATTGTCAGTGCAGCCTGGCGTTGCATTGCCGATATCGGCCTCGCGATGGCGAAAGCGCGGCCGACGTAACTTCACTCGCGAGCATCAAAAATGGCAGGCGTGCCCTTCGTAGCTATGCGCAGCGCGGGCTGCGCAAGCCTCCCTCGGTGGTTCTACTGGGGGGCCCAGCCATTGACAACTGACGACTTCAATGGACAACTGACCCTTTGAACACATCACTCCAAAAAACGACGGGGTGCAAACATACATGACTCAATGAGTTGCCCTTCGCATTCTAAAAACCGACGGTGCACGCGCACTGACATCGTGAGAACACACCTCCAGGGAAGGCTAAGACTGAGCAGGCAGGGGGCGGCGCCGACATAGAGTGGACTGAAGGTCGAGACTCACTGGTCACAGTCACTGCTGCTGCTACTGCACTCCACGGGGCCGCCGCTCGAGGAAGGCTGACCGCCCTCGAAGCGCGGGGGTGGACTGGGCTGGGCGTCCTTCGAGAGGAAGCAGCTCTTGTAGCCGTAGTCGACGGCGATGTCCTCGATGTAGATGTCAAGGAGGTGGTTCTGCATGTGGGCCTGGCGCGGTGGATCTGAGTAGAGAATCAGCTTCGACTGCTTGTGGATGGCCTCGCGCACGTCGGCTCTAGTCAAGCGCTTGCCGAAGTGCGGCAGCTTCGTGTCTGGGTCGAGGTTCGTGGCCAGGAAGAGGATCGCGCCCACGGCAACCTCGGAGAGCTTCTCCGCGCGGTGCAACGGGAAGACGGTCGGAGCAGCTGCCTCCAGCAGCGCCCGCCTCACTTTGAACGGCAGGGCGTTCTTGTGGTAGTAACTGGCTCCAAGGTAGAAGTTCGACTTCGCGATGAGGGCCATGTCGTCAGCCCGGAGTGGGCGAGGGCCGAACGCGTGGTCGTCGGGGTGAGGCTCGAAGAATGCGTGGGCGCATCCGCCCTGCGGTGCGCCCGCGGCACCGTCGTTCTTGAACACGGTGTCAAGCGTCGTTTGTCCGAGCATGTTGGCCTGACCATTCTTCGACATTCTGAGGCCCAGACGTCCAGGCCCGACGCCGCTCATAGCGTCTCGGCTCGAAACAGCACGGTGTGAACAGTATGGAAGGCTACGGATGATGATGATGAAGATGATGATGAAGATGATATTAATGTCGTGCAGAGGTTGTCTGCAATGATGATGGGGATGATATTTGCGATGCGATGGGGCTGCCATTGGCGCGCGCTCGGAAACCCGACCCAGGCTGGCAAGCAGGATAACTCCAGGCATCGCGCCCCCCCGCGCCCCCATTTTCATTTTCTCCCCGACCGGCGGCGAAAGATAAAAGTATGGTTGCGCTGGAGGACGGGCTAGGAGAAGAAAGGAACATCGCATGGCATGACGAGGGAGGGAATTGGCAGACCACGACAACGGGGAAGGCAGTGAAGAAGGAGCTCGAAGACGCCATTGAGACATGGAGGAAAAAGGTGCGCCCGGAGCCCGAGACAGAGAGCGAGTGACGTTACGGCGACGGTCACGGCACTACCACGTCGAACATTACGAGGGCATCTACAAGGTCGAGTTGGAGAGACATCTCCACCACCCCTAGGGGGTCAACGGGGGCGGTGACCCACTTGGAGGTCGGCCTGCTTGCAGGAATTCATTCGCGCGCCTGCCAGGGCCATTCATGGACGTCGACTGCGTTCCCACTGGACACCTGCGACGACTCCGAATCTACAAACAAAATCGACCTAAGGAGAGAGGAAAGTTTTCAGTTGTTGATGGCGACTTCCTTCAGGATCTCGTGTCTCTCTCAGGATCGGCGCCGGCACGTCGACTACGGCGCCGCCACCTACTTCCCGGACTCCCGCACCTACCCAGATCCCAATGTCAGGCACTCGAGATGCGCATTGCGAGCCGGACAAGATCGAAGAGAAAGATGTGGAAGCACCATTTGCTACCGTCCACAAGAACGCGAGGGGACTCACGTGCGACGCAAGATTCATTGAATTATTTGGGGAATCGGCGGGAGTTCATTGGGACGCGCTTCTCCTAGACGAGTCAATGCAGCCAATCAAAGAAGAACAATGGTTATTTTAAGAGGGACACATGTATGCCGGGTCCGGGGGCAACACATATATGCATGGCGCGGGTATTATAATGCATTTAAGATGGGCGAAGCACGTGAGAAGATTTGGCCCGCTAGCGGACAGGATTGCCCATGTTGACATTATTTCAAAAACATTGCGGGCGATATTCATATCGGCGAATTTTCCGCGCAGCAAATATGCGACAACCACGTGCAGGCCATGTGCGACGCACTACCAGACACACTCTGGACGGCAAAAAGGCGCAAGGTACATGCGCTGGTCGGAGCTGATGTCAACGCACAGGTATTCCCCAGCCACCGAGTACGCCAACAGGCGGGTCTGTGGGGCATACGCGCATGGGTCAGAACATTCTCGCGGAAGACGGTTCAAGGATTGGGCCAATTGTCAACATTTGGTTATTTCAAACACAATGTACAAAAACAAGTGCATCTCTTACTAACGCTTTAGCCCAGCAAGCCTGGGCCCAAGCAACTCGATGATATTATTGTGTCGCGGGGGCTTGGGCGAAGGACGACGGATTGCTGTGCGACCTCAGAAACCGACGTGGTTCCAGAGCATGTCGCGCTGAAGATGCGTAGTTCGATTCTGCGCCGGCCGCCCGACATCACGAATAGAGAAAAGGAGGTTGCGCACAAGACGAATATAGAACGATGGCCACCAAGTTCTATATCTGAGTGCGCGTCGGCATTGGAAGTGCACGCCGGCGAGATGGCTGTTGGAAGCGGAGTGGAAGAACAAACCCTTCTGATCGACAACTCGATTCGGGAATCCATGGAAGCGACAGGTACCGCCCAGCAGACGTCTAACAATATAGCTCAACATGCTGACCCTGTTGTTGCCAAACTTGCAGAAGCCCGCGGGGCAACGCCGAGAGGCCGCGCCTGGGAACGCAGAGACGTGATCAAGAACATCCAGAAGCATATCACGGCAGCACAGCGATCGAGACAATCTGACAAGATCTCACACACATTGGAATGTTTTAAAGGTCTGAAGAAAATTAGTGGTATCAACAATTGCAAGAAACGCGCGCTTATTTCGTCGATGCGCACCGATGTTGGGAGGTTAACTTACGACCGACGTGAGATGGCAGACGTCTTTGCGGATTCCTGTGAGGCCTTGTGCGTTTGTAGAGACAAAGACCAATCCGAAGAGCCACCAGAGCTGGCATAAAGAATCGCGCAGAGCTCTGAGGCGATACTCCGTTTCTCAATGGAAGAACTTGGCACCGGGTTAAGACGTCTCAGTTATGATGAGTCGGCAGACGTTTCTGAGATAGCCGCCGAAATGCGAAACAACGATGGATGCATCATGAAGGCCGCTTTGTTGAATCTCCACAATGATATCATCAAGCCGGGGGCAAGCTCGCCGCAATCATGGAAACAAACACAGTTGAAAGTATTGTTTAAGTCTTGTGACCCGAGCATGCCGCAAAATTACCGTCCGAACCGCCCGCTCGTGTATAAACAGTTTTCGCGAATGCTGCGCAATCGACTCGAGCCCATTCTGGAGCGACGCCAACCTCCGGAGCAAGCTGGCTTTCGGAAAGCCTTCAGTAGAGACGACTTTCTATTTTCATAGTGATGATGCTAGAAGAATGTTGGGAATGGCAAGTCCCTGCGTGGACCGCAACATTGGACTTTAAACAAGCTTTTGAAACCGTATCTCACAAGAGTACGTGGGCCACAATGCCGTCCCAGGGGGCGCCCAACAGTTTTATCGGCGTTATTTCAACAATGTATTGCGATCAGACAGCAGTCATAAAAAATACAGATGTGTAGAGCAAGACCTTCAATATTGAACGCGGTGCAAAAGAAGGCAACCAATTCAGCTCATTACTTTTCATTTGCTTGTCGGATGAAATATTCCGGGAGGGCCAGGCGAGACTGGAAAGACGCAAATACGGGCTACGCATGAGTGTTGCCGACGAAACGCGCTTGACTAACCTAAGGTTTGCCGACGACGTCGTGCTTACCGGGGCGACGCTTGCACAGGTGCGCCGGATGTTGTTGGATAGCACAGAGAGGGCTAAACGCATTGGATTGGAACTGCATCCAGAAAATACAAATTTCGACATCATGTTGAGTCACGACGACCGAAGAAGACATTGGAGCATACAAGAGTGGGCGACTTTGACATAGAGATTTTGCCGTACACTGGAACCCAGAAATATTTGGGGCGACGCTTCACTTTCTCCAACCAGGCGCACGTGGAGGTAGAGGCACGCATCCAAACAACATGGAACAAAACCGGGCTCTTCAAACAGGAGTTGCATTCTCGATCTTACCCGATGCGCGACAGGCTTCGGCTATTCAGCGGTACGGCGATGCCTACTGTCGTGTACGGGTGTGCATCATGGGCAACGGTTGTTTTTTGGCGCAGAAATTGCGTACAATTCAAAGACGGATGCTACGGATGATTCCTGGATCACCACGAAAACCATTACCAGGAGCTCGTGACGGCGGAGGATTCACGACGGCAGCACTAGCAACGCTCAAGACGACACTTCCAGTTTGGAAACTTGGGTGGACTGGGTACGTCGAGCAACCTAGAAAACATAACATAATTACACATTATTTGGTTGTGAAAGTTGGCTTGATGCACGTTGCAAAAAGAAAGCTGCATGGGCTGAACATGTCATGAACGGCAGTTTGGGGGAATGGTCATACAAATCGTTGCATTGGGACCCGGATATCACCGAGAGCATCGCCAAGCGACGCCCGCATGGCCTTGTGGCGCCGCTGGGCTGACAAGATGTGAAGGTGCCCCGGCCCCGCCGCCGACCTCCTAAGGAAGCGTTGCCGGTGTCCGCGCGCACGGGCAGCGGGATCGGCGTCCGTCCGTCCGTCCTTCCCCCCTCTTCCCCTTCCGTCCCCCCAGGAGGCCCTAGGCCAGACGCGCTGGGAGCCTTCCTGCGCAGCGGCGCTCTTGGGGCCGCGCTGGGCGCGATGGCGACCCCAGGGGGGGGGAGCATTGAGCATTGGGATATGCAGGGGGCTGGGGAGGAGAAGGTTCACGCATGTCTGACGACGGGGGGGGAGAGAAGGAGAAGGAGAAGGAACGTCCTGCATGTCTTTGGGGGATCCTGGATGGTTGGGGGATGCTGAAAGTCTTGCCGTCCCCCAGGGATTCCTGGAGGCCTGAGGGGGGGAGGGAGGAGGGGCGGGTGAGTAAAGGGCGAGAGGGGAAAAGACAAAAAGGGGATCAAGGGCAGTAGATGGCAGTGAGAGGTAAAAGAGGAGATGGCACGAAGGAAGAGGCAGGGCAAACTGCAACTTCACGGGATAAGGGAGTGAGGAGGGAAGGCATATGTAAGGGGGGGAGGTGTGGATGGGCTGGTGGTCGGGCGGATCCCCAGGGGAGAGGCCATCCCAGGGTCGGCAGGCGAGAATCGACACCAATCAAAACGAATCGAAGCGGGCCAACGGGCTGTTCGCAGGCGGGCGGAGGGGTGCGGGGCCAAGAGCATTGCACGTGTTTTCCCTTATGTTTGCCATGGCCAATACGAGGTCGAATCCGTGTTGGTGAAAGGAGCGGGGCATGTTTCGCGGGCACAGCGCGGCCCATGCCAGCAACGAAACGCAGTGCCTTTAGCAGTCCGCTGCGGAAAGCATTGCAGACGCAATGGGTGGCATCTCCCCGCCACCTTCTGAGAGACATCCGCACATGCCAGCAAGAGACTTCCTCACCACATTCGGAACGGCGCCGACTTCGGTCGGCGACACGATGCCTGAGGCGGTAAGGCGTTCGCAGCAGAGGCAGGGCACCAGCAGCAGAGCCGAAGTGCACTCGCATGTGCAGCCTGCTCTGGTCCACCGCCCGCATCTCCGAATGTGCGGTCGAAGAAGCAGGGCCTGAGCGTCGCGGGCCCTCAGAGGGGAGCGAGGGGAACGTGCTGGGCCCCGCCAGGGCGGTACAAGATCCGCTGTCCATGGCGATGGTTGTGACGGGGTGGGGGGGGGGGGAAATGGGGGGGGGGGGAGCGGGGGCGGGCGGCCCTGGCACTCGAGGCTATGACCCATGACCTCCGCCCGCGCTCCCCGCCCCTTCGGCCCAGAGGCGCCGAAGTCAGCCTGAGGGGCTCCTGACGCCTCGGCACCGGAGAGAGCAATAATTATCCAGAGTGGATCGTCCAGCTTCTGGGTGGGCCACTGCCTCCAGCGCCAGATTTGGTTGACGGGCACATGCGTGCACCTCTGGATGCCTCCGATGCTTCTGGCGGCTCCTCTTGGGCGCGAGGCCTGGCCACGTCCCACTCAAATCTGCCCCAGCACATCCCTGTCCCTGTTCCCGACGCGCGCGAGCTGCCAAAACAAAAGCTAGTTCGGAACGCCTCTCACACCCAGCACTCGGCAGCTTGTCTACCTTCCCCCGCCCTCCTCTCCCGCGCCTCCAAGTTGGGGGCCCTGCACGGCTGTTGTGCCTTCGGATTGGCACAGACTGTTGATGCCCCAGGCACGACCGCCGGGCGAAAACACACATAAACGCCAGCGAACTAAGAAAGCACTTGAACTTTGTGATCCAACCTACCTCTTCGCGCTCCTGATAAGAAGGACACAGGGTGCATGGCAATTCTAGACGCTTCGCGTATCCCCACCAGTCCGCAGCCTCTGGCTCAAGCCCCCTCTGGCTCAAGGGAGCCTAGCTGGCTTGCTGCGCCCGCGGGCCGGCGGCCGCCCGACCGGCGGGCCGCCTGCGGGGCGCCGGGAGGGGTCACCCCTTCGGGCCTCCCCCTCCCGGGCCCCTCGCCGCGGGCGATGGAGTCCGTCTCGGCGCGGCGGCGGCGGCAGCGCAATGCTGCTGCGGCCCGCGCCCGCGGTGCCGCCCGCCCCTTCGGCGCCTGGGCTGCTGCCGTCGGCCCTCGGGATGCCGCGGGCGCGGCCGCCGGGCCTCTCGGGGCCACGGCCGCCGCCGCTGGCCTCCCCGACGCCTCGGCGGCCGCCGCGCGCGCCGCCAGCGCCGCGGCTCGAGCCGCTGGCGCCGCCGGCAGCGCCGCGGCCTCGGCCCTCGGCCGCGCCGCGTCGGCGGCCGCTGACGCTGCCGTGGCCGTTGCCGTTGCGGCCTTGCCTCCCGCCGCTCCGCTGGCGGCGGCGGCCGCCGCCTTTTCGGCGGCCCTGGCCGCCGCGTTTCGCCTCGTCGCGGACGCCGCCGCCGCCGCCGCTGGAGCCCTACATCAACATGTACGTCACTGTGAACGGCGCGTACGAGAAGAGCAGTCGTCGGCAGTGGTTGCAGATTGTGGCGCTGCTGAGCGTGATGGCGGACGTGCAGCTGGAGCCCAAAATCATCACCTACGGCACTGTGAAGACCGCGTGCGTGAAGAGCAGGCGTCAGCAGTGGCAGCAGGACGTGGCGCTGCTGGGCGAGATTGTGGCCGTGAAGCTGGAGCCCAACATCATCACCTACGTCACTGTGAACAGCGCGTGCGAGAAGAGCAGTCGTCGGCAGTGGTTGCAGACCGCGGCGCTGCTGAGCGAGATGGCGCTCCTGCAGCTGAAGCCCAACATCATCACCTACCACATCCAGAACAGCTGGTGCGAGAAGGGCGGGCGTTGGCAGTGACAGCAGGCAATGGCGCTGCTGAGCGAGATGTTGGACGTGCAGCTGGAGCCCAACATCATCACCAACGGCACTGTGGAGAGCGCTTGCGAGAAGAACAGGTTCCAGCTGTGGCAGCAGGTGGTGGCGCTGCTGGGAGAGATTGTGGCCGTGAAGCTGGAGCCCAACATCAACACGCACGTCACCGTGAACGGCGCGTGCGAGAAAAGCAGTCGTCGGCAGTGGTTGCAGACTGTGGCACTGCTGAGCTTGATGGCGAACGTGCAGCTGGAGACCAACATCATCACCTACTGCATCCTCAGGCCTTCAGGAGGCGCAGTCACCTCGACGACTACGCCGACGACGACTACGACCACGACCACCACGACGCCGACGCCGCCGACGACGACCTCCACGGACGCCGTCGCCGCGACGACGACGACGACGACCACGACCACGACCGCGAGCACGAGCACGACCACGACGACGATAGGGGGTTGGAAGAGGAAATTCTTGACAGTCGCAGACGGGACGAGCCTGCAGCTCGGGAGTCACAGGCGGGACGAGCCTTCAGCTCGAGTCTCAAAGGCGTACCTCACAGCTTCAGAAGAGACGAGCCTTCAGCTCGGGAGTCACAGGCGGGACGAGCCTTCTGCTCGAGACTCCAAGGCGTATCTGTTGATGCTCAAGCGGTTGGGGCTCAAGCTGTTGCGGCACGAGCTCAAGCTATCACATTGCCAGTCGCCGGGGCTGTCGGCCACCACCTCAGCTTCAGAAGGGACGAGCCTTCAGCTCGAGAGCCAGAGACGATGCCCATGGACGCCGAGAGCGCCGCAGAGACTGTGGCCATGAGTGACGGCGGCATTCTCGAAGATCGGGCCAGGAGCTTGTCCAACGAGGGTGGATGGCCTGTGCGTGAGGCTGCCCATTGGGGTGGCAGCGGTGATGATGGGTGGGTGGACCGAATGCAGTCCGCCCACGTCCCCGATCCACATCCCATTGGCTCACGCCCACACTCCGCCGACCACCCTCCCCGGGACGCGTCAAGACAGAGAGGGGCAGCCTTCAGCTGCGAGGGGGTCGATCCCTTGACCGTGGAGGCCTCCGTCCTGGTCGCGCAACCGACCCCTCCAGCTGACCTGGGCCTACGTCAAAACGGCTGCCGCCTTCCGCCCGCCGCCTCCCCCGGGCGCGACCAGGTTGTACACGCAGAAGACGGGCCTTCAGCCCGGGAAGCGCCGTGCGAAGCAGCGAGAGTGGAGGAGCCTGTAGCCCGGGAGTTCTTTAAAATGGGCAGATGGACGTTGACGGCGGCACGGCGGCCAATCAGCTCCCTGGGCATCCCTTTAATCCCGCGGACTCCCGTCCCTCACCCGCCCCCCAACCTGACAGTCACAGACGGGGCGAGCCCTCAGCTCGGGAATCACAGGAGGGACGAGCCTTCAGCTCGCGTCTCCAAGGCGTATCTCACAGCTTCAGAAGAGACGAGCCTGACCACCACGACGCCGACGCCGCCGACGACGACCGCCACGGACGCCGTCGCCTCGACGACGACGACGACGACCGCGACCACGACCACGACCGCGAGCACGACCACGACGACGATAGGGGGTTGGAAGAGGAAATTCTTGACAGTCGCAGACGGGACGAGCCTTCAGCTCGGTATTCACAGGCGGGACGAGCCTTCTCCTCGAGACTCCAAGGCGTACCTCACAGCTTCAGAAGGGACGAGCCTTCAGCTCGAAAACCAGAGACGATGCCCATGGACGCCGATAGCGCCGCAGAGACTGTGGTCATGAGTGACGGCGGCATTCTCGAAGATCGGCCCAGGAGCCTGTCCAACGAGGGTGGATGGCCTGTGCCTGAGGCTGCCCACTGGGGTGGCAGCGGTGACGATGGGTGGGTGGACCGAGCGCAGTCCGCCCACTTCCCCGATCCACATCCCATTGGCTCACGCCCCCGCCGAAAACCCTCCCTTGGAAGCGTCAAGACAGAGAGGAGCAGCCTTCAGCTGCGAAGGGGGTCGATCCCCTGACCGTGGAGGCCTCCGTCCTGGTCGCGCAGCCGACCCCTCCAGCTGACCCGAGCCTACGTCAAAACGGCCCCCGCCTTCCGCCCGCCGCCTCCCCCGGGCGCGACCAGGTTGTACACGCAGAAGACGGGCCTTCAGCCCAGGGAGCGCCGTGCGAAGAGGGAGAGTGGAGGAGCCTGTAGCCCGGGAGTCTTTAAATGGGCAGATGGACGTTGGCGGCGGCACGGCGGCCAATCAGCCCCCTGGGCATCCCGTTAATCCCGCGGACTCCCGTCCCTCACCCGCCCCCCAAGCTGACAGTCACAGACGGGTCGAGCCTGCAGCTCGGGAGTCACAGGCGGGACGAGCCTTCAGCTCGAGTCTCCAAGGCGTATCTCACAG